CCCAACTTCCCAGAATTTTTCAATTCTAATTTTCATCTCACACCTGTTTTACTTACATGGGACTCCATTAACTTAAATAATTTTGTGCCTGACTTGCACTGTTTTTTGATTCAGCATTAGTCTGTTCCTCTCTATTGCCATCAGATACAGCTGCCCACAGAAAAGCCTGGAAAAAAATATTTTGCCTGTAATTCAGCATCTCCTTTTTATATTACAAAAAGGACACATTTCTGCTTCCCAGAGACATGAGGCACTATCTAACATTTAGCATTTTGGATAGGTCAAGTACTTGTTTAAACGTTCAGTACTGCTGTCTTTATTCTTCCCTGTCAAAGTCTGCATCTGCAATACACCAAATAAGTAACTGAGCCAAGATCAGTTCAACAGATCCGTGAGAAAAAACCCTGGGTAGTATGGTCCTGCCTTTCTTAAGAAGGCATTTGCAGAAGTAGCATTTATCTGGTAACAAAACTACCTACCTTTTTTGGGGATGGTGGTTATAATATCTCTAGAAAGATACCATAAAATGAGGCCCAACCTATCTGACCAAGGTCTCTTGCCCTTCTAAAGGTATAGGTGCTCACAAACTTAAGATATGAAGAAGCCACTTTACCTGGTCTTCTGGGTTACATCTAGTTTACGGGGGCAGCTGGGAGGACACACAGGATAAATTAATTTTCCTGGCCAGCCCACATCTGGCCAGCACCTTCTCCCAGCCCCTCGGCTTACAGACCCGTACAGGACAAGCAAGAGTCCCCAGACAAGATAATAGCTGGAAGCATCCTGCCAGAACAATTTGCAGCTCATGGCCTCCTCCCTGCATGGCCTGAATTACTTCTGGAAATGACAGATGCTGAGAGTGCGGAAGCCCATCTGACCAACCCTACAGCAAACCTGGAGCATACAGTGAAATAACTGCAGATCCATGGATTAGTGAAGGACAATAAGCCAAACTTCTGTGGGAATCACCGGACCTTCCACATCCCCACTAAATGTTCATATTGCCCACGGGTCCGGCCATGTGACAGGAGAAAGACCACATGAGGTTCTGCGCTCGTATTCACAAAACCTGAGTAACTCAGTCAGCTAAAACAATCTAGCTCCCCTGTTGTGTACGAGTTCAGGTTATAAAGCAATTTCTATTCAGCTCTAATTGCACGGATTCCACAGTGGTATTTTTCATGTTGTTCCTAATCAAGATGAACTCACTGCTTTTACGGTGTGCTTCATTTTGTTTTGTTTTTCAAACATGAGGAAAATATTTTCAACACTTTTGTGTGTCACAAATGGAAAACATATCCCTTCCTCCACTCTTAAGGCATTTGAATCACTTTTTTTATTGTCAAAACTAGACACAGCTGATTGCTAAAACTTGAAATAGAGCATGAAAATATTTTTCCATGAGGACAAGAGCCTCCACTTGGCAAGAAAAATAGCAGAGTGTTCTCAAAAGTGATGAGATTTGGAAAACCCACAGCCTAAATATACAAGAGAGGAAAATCTTGTTCCTGTGATAACCATGCCTACCAACAGAACTGGGCAGGAATGCAGGTCTGGGATGGGCAAATTTTCCATTTGTAGATGAGCTGGGTTTGGAGGCTGGCCATGGTGTCCTTCCTATCTGACTTAAGTTGCTTATTCCTTCATTACAAAGACCATTCCTGCACAGAAACAACTGACAAGGTATGGTCTTTGTTGATGCTGTGGTACCTGCTCTTTTCACATGGCTTGACCTAGAGAAAATCAAGTAAAGTATCTGCCAGTCCCACATTAATCCACCTCTCCAGTCTATGATCAGAAGGTTTCTTTTTACAAGTTCAAGAAAAGACACAAAAGACACTGACATGCTTCTGCTTCCGCAGCAACCAGTCCTGGCCTGTGCAAGGAAGTTGCAGTTTAATTAAACCAGTTCAAAAACTGATGCTGTTGAATTAATGTTAAGTCTGTGGGAGGATAGATGTTATTTTGGTGAAGAGTGCTTTCTACTGTTTTAACTGAAGTGGTAAGGAACAGATTTAAGCTAAATCAATATACAGCGTACTTCAACTGATATGTGTCCAAAAAAGGCATTTGCATCAACATAATGAAACAATGCAAGCTTTTCATGTAGACAAGACTCAGAGGAAAATGTAACCATATTACACTTTGGGAATACTGTGGACATGCCTTGTTTTGCCCTTGTCTGCTGTCAACACCTCCTCCACTGCCTCCAGGGGTCTGCTCCCCGCTGCCTGACAGTTTTATTAACTATCTCTTCCTGTCTTATTTACCCTCAGGTACCCACTTGTTGGCAAGTTATACCTCTCTCTTTCACCAAACCACCCAAGCTCTCAAAACTGGAGCTTCCTGCAGTTCTGCTAAGTTAAAATGTTCCTCTTCGGGGTAGTTTCAAGCTGATGTTCCACAGACTTTCCCCTATTTCCTCTATGTTACTACAGCTTCAGAGCCAGACTGTCTGGGGTTTCCTCCAAAACCAAAATATAACACTTCAGGCTTTTTGTGTGTCCAGTGCTGTGGAAATGTCAGAATGTGACTGCTCCTTCTGGGAAGTCCATCTCTCTCCAGAGGGTGACATACAGTGACTAAACAAAAGTATAAAAAAGGCCATAAACCATTTTTAGCAAGTCTGCTTTCTTAGCCTGGCATGATATCCCAGCACCTGTTCAATCAGCTTGAGCCCACTGGTTTACACTACAGAGTGGGGAAAGTGCATGGGAAAAGGTCAGTTCTTACTCTTCTTCCTGTTCTTGGTTCCTTCCCCCAGATGCCAGCACACTCAGGCCAAGGCTGGGATGAAGATCCTAAGGAATTTTGTCTCCTCCACTGTGCCCAAGACCCCACCATGGCTGCATCACAAGCTGCAGGGGGGAAACAGAGGGGAACTCTAGTGATTAAGCACTGGAAAATACACACAGTGTTGAAATCGTGATATTCAGCCACTCTGAGGACATCAGGGCGAATATACAAAATAGGTTAGACAGAGTTTGGTGTTAGACCGGCTGAGCAAAGAGGGAGCTGACTTTATTGGCAGAAATTTTAACAAAAGGCTTGTTCCGCTACTGTTGAATCAATGGCAAATCTCCCAATGGAAGTAGCCTCTGGCCACAAATGTGTAGTTAACAACCCAACTCTGTACAGCACACACTGCTTCCTATGAGCTTTAGACAGCCCACAGTCCCCATTGATTGCTGCAGTCAAAAACAAGCTGGAGGTGGGTGCTGAGCACATTAGAGCTACCAGTTGTAGTAAATCCAACCATTCTAAATTTTAGACAGTCTTTCTGTTTCCCCTGGCATACGCAACACGTTGTAAGTAAGTGCCAAGTTAACAGCAGAGAGAAAACAGACTTGATCCACACACACACATGCATAACAATGCTTAAAAGTGCAAGTTTTTTAACATCTTTGAGAGAGGGTGGTGAGATGAGGCAGGAAAAACAGTTTCATACATTTCAGTGCAAAAGACAGCAGAGAAAAGAGAATTCTTTTCTGTGCCTTTAATTTAAGGATCAGACAATTCAGAACGTCAGTATGTTAGTGACAATTGCTAATTTCCTCTTGAGACCCTACCAGAAAATTTTCATGCCTATTTATTTATTACAAATGTAAGCCACCTTCATTGTTTTTCTTCTTATCCTTTTTATGAAAAGAGACAGAGGAAGAGAGATTTCCACCTTCACTTTATTACAAAATCTAAGGAATGCAATGTGCAATTCAATCTGCTGAAAGATTATTGAAGAAATTCAAAAGCAGCAGTAACACACAAGTTTAACTCTGCCCCCGTGTGTGCAAACATTAAAGTACACCCTCCCATCCGTTACCTGGATCTTGTTCTATTTTTCTGCAAAAGGACATAGTTTATGACATCAATTATATATGACATCCACGATGACCACATAGCTACAGGACACCACTTCTTTTCTACACTCACGTGTCTCTGCATTACGAAACTCTCCTTTATGAATACACTGGCCACCAAAAAACAAGCCTTAGAGATATGCCTGTTGCCTGTACTAATGAAACAAGGAGAAGTAAAAGTGAAAAGAAAAAACAGGCAACTCTGGAATTTTACCAGAGGGATGGTCCTGCTAAGAATAGGAAAAAACGGAGGCTTAATTTTACTTCTCCTTTGCCACGCACGCCCTGTGTGAACTTCCCTGCTCTCCCCTGTGCCTCACTTCCCAGCCTGTAAAGTGTAGATACCATCACCTTTGTGTGTGGGGGTGAAAAGGAACTACTTCTTCTTCTGTAAACTCACACCAAGATTTCTCTAGCAGTCTCACTTCACCAGCATGTAGGGTGACCAGGATCTGTCAAGGGGAGACCAGCCCAGGCCACCATCACTGTTGTGGGGACACGCTGCTCCAGCCAAAAGGGCTCAGCCCTTCCTGGGCCCAGGGCTCAGCCCACAACCACACAGCCAGCAGCAAGGCAGCAGCTCCACGTGCTGAGAATGAGTGACCTCTGTATCATGTTCTACCGCAGGACTCCTGTTTATCGACTCATTTTGGGACAAGCCCCTGGCTTGACCGATGACAAACCATGGGCCAAAGCGCCGCTGAATGGAACAGGCTCCCCATCCAGTAACCAATGGGGTGAACTGGAACAGGGCGTTGCAACACCCCAGCGCGTATCACGACCGAGATACGCAGGGACAACCCGTGGCACGGGGACAGGGCGCTGCAGGAGCTGAACCCTGCACACACAAGCCGGCTCGGGGCACAGCTGCCCTCGGCCCTTATCTTGTGACAAGGAACTTCACCAGGAGGAGAAGCCTGCAGGGCACACCACTGTATGCCCCAGGGCAATGACCACCTCCCCCATTTTTAATTGATTTCAGCTTTCACATTAACCTGTGTGAGTTGAGTCTACAGAGGAAAAGCCGCAGCCATGTTTGCCAGCTATGGGCGGACCCACAGCACTGGCACCACTCCGCCACCTTCCCCTGCCCTGGGCAGCGACCAGTCACTATTAAACCAGCCTGGCAAGAGGAGGCTGCAGCGGGGCTGCCCAGACGGCGTGCGGGGCCATGACGACCTACGTGCAACTGAGCACCACAGCCAAGATGCCCCTCGTGGGGCTGGGCACCTGGAAGGTAACAGCTTCAGCGAAAACCAGCAGTATTGCAGAGCTCCCTGGCACAAAACTCTCTTCCCCTTGGTCTAGCTCTGGAGTACTGTCCTGGTGTCTAGGGCTCTACACTACCTGGCTGTTGGGCTGAACCCTGCGTGGGAGTGTGGCTACGGATAAATAGCTGGAGACTGGCTTCAAGCCCCGGAGCCCATGTTTATGACTGCAATAAATACTGTTCTTGTAAAGAAAAAAAAAAAAACCCTCCCTCAAGCGGGGAGGATTGCTTTAAGTAAGGTGGTTTTCCTATTTTTATTTTGCTAGGACGCAGGTATTCCACATGTACTGATTTGAGATTCTTAAGATTTATGCATTATTTTTAGTCCTCAGCTGGGCGAGGAAAAGCTGCAGTAATGGCTGCCATCGATGCTGGGTACCGCCACTTTGATTGTGCTTATGTGTACCAGAATGAAAGTGAAATTGGGGAAGGGATCCAGCAGAAAATCAAGGAAGGTGTTGTGAAACGAGAAGACCTCTTCATCGTCAGTAAGGTAAGGATCTGATGATCTTCCACCCTGGAGCAGGGGTGGGGGAATGTTTTGTCTATAGTATTTTCAGAGTGGGAAGCTTAAGTACCAGACACAAACTTTATGTTGTAAGATAAAGCAATGCATAACATCATTCAAATCAGTCCTGATACAAGCTTACAGCTTCACCCCATTATGCATAGAGAATTAGGAAGGATATGCAGTGTCAGCACCCTGCTGTGGTCTGGCACTCTGCTGGGGAGACCCAGAAGTGCTGGGGGATGGATGAGGAGAGGCCATCTGCAGACCAGTTGGTGCAGAAGGAAAGCAGGAAAAGGTAGGGTGGTCCGGGTAGCACCAAACAAGGTAGAAACCCATGATGCAGAGATCTGGGATCACTTGGTGTCATGGACTGATACAGAGGCAGAACCAGTTTGCTAATGGCACCTCACTCACTGCTAAAGCACAGCAGAGGAGAAAAGCCTGGCAGTGGCTGGTGCTTGTTCCAGCAGCCGGGTCTCGCAGTCTTGCCAAAGGGGTGTCTCTGCCGTGTGAGGAAGATGAGGTTCTGGGCACCTTGGGACAGCGTGATCTGCTCAGCACATGTACCGAGGCAGGTGTGGTTGGTGCATTCTCTTTCTCTTGCTTGCTAAGAAAAACAGGCTGTTTAGCTGGATTCCGAAGTTGCTTCTTGCCTTGGTGAAGGTTGGTGCCAACCACTTCTTTGTGGCTTGTCATGTATTTTCTTGGCTTTGCCTGCTACATTTTTTTACAGGAAATGTACAAATGATCAAATCTGACAGAAAGCTTTCTTGAGCTGTGCCATCCTCTTCTACAAAAATCTGACCCTGCAATAGGAGTTTTTACTAGAGATCTGTCTAACCATGTGCACTGCCGCTGCACATACTGCCTTCAGTGTCACAGGCCAGTCCCATCACAGACAAGCCCCAGCTGAAGAGTGCTGGATGGCCTAATTCCACATCGTCTTCCAAAGAAGAAGCATTTCTGTCCTGTGCAGGAAAGCACCAGAGACCTTCAACACAGGAGGTCACAGTGTGCCTTGGCTTTTTGTCTCTAGCTGTGGTGCACATTTTATGAAAAGCCTCTGGTGAAGGGAGCCTGCCAGAAGACTCTTGCTGACCTGAAACTGGATTACCTGGATCTCTACCTCATGCATTGGCCTCTTGCATTCAAGGTACAGTAACAGCAACACCCTTGGCTTTCCCTCCAGGAGACCTCCTCAAAACTGCCAGTAACGCTTGCAGCACTACCGCTGCTCCAGTCCAGAAAGAGCATGTGTCTGTTGTGTGCACCAGCACTGCGCCGGTGCTGCTCATTCAGCTTTACTCTGGCCACGTGAGCCAGGCTCTTGATCTCTGCCCCTGAGACGGCTGCTTGCACAGCGTCCTCTGCCCTTTTGATGCTGGAGATGCAGACCTAGCACTAAGATCAGGCCTCCCAGCTGCAAGCGTAAGCTTATGCCACTTTCCCTTTCTTTTAAAAATGCAAAGCATGCTCATCTGAAAATTACCCCTTGCGGAAAGGAGGACGGTGTTTTGCTGCCTGACAGAAATCCTTTCCTCTGCATGTTACAGAATTGCAGATCAAAAGAAAATGCTTCTATTTTCCATTTCTGTCGTTAATCACCAAGTACTTATTACAGTCCTGATTGAGCTGACCTTGCCTTTAGGAGCCTTAGTGTTGTTTCAAAGACCTTGGATTTCAAAAGATGAGGCTTTTCGATACCAAACTTTTGCTGACTGCACGTAATTCAAAGGTTCTATGTCAGTTTGTATATACACACATATACCCTTAGCCTTTCCTTTCTGCTACATCGAGATCAAAATCTCTATTCTACCTAATGCTTTTGAGCTCATCTTCTTTTCATTCTCTCAATATTGTTTTAGTTAGCTTTCTGTGGACAAAGCTGCCATGTGAGACTGCGTAATATTGTGGCATCTAGAAAATTGTGATCATCCAAACCACTTTGGCCATACTGTCTAGTTACAGGCTTAAACACTGATCCTCCCCATGGGAAATGTCAGCCATACCTTTTTCAGCAGACATACTCCAGCAGAAATGTGAACATTCACAGGACCAAAGTCAATCCTTCATATACCTTTTTAAAAGCAACTAAAGAAACTATTATCCCTAAACGTTCATAACAGAACAACACATGAAGTGAACTCATGTAAGACTCCAGGATATTGTTCTATGAGTAAATCACTTCCCTGCATGCATTTTGTGGATCATCACTTCAATGGGTACAGCAGAAATGCCTGTCTTTATTGGGATAGTAGATGACAAAAATGCCATGACCTTGCATGAACTAAGAATGACTGAAGAATTAATTAAGTTATGATGAGAACTACTTGAGTTTTTTTCACGCACTATTAGCTTTAGCTCCTTACATTCCTGTTTGGTCCTTTTATATAGCTAGCATCCCATCAGAGACTATTTCAAGCATTTTCTTTCATTGACAGCCAGGAGACGAGCTGTTTCCCAAAGATGATAAAGGCATGTCTATACCCAGCAACACCGATATTCTACAGACATGGGAGGTAAGTTCAGCCACAGCAGAAGAGACATGTCCTCTCTCCTCATCAGTCTCTTCCATGTTTTCATTACCTTCAGCAGTCACAGAACTGTTATTTCATAGACGCAAAATTAGTTGGAAGGAACATAAGGCAGTACAAAGTAGCTTTTCACAATGTGCATGCTTAGTCATTACCTAGTTATTCCTATTCCCCGAGCACCTTACTTGACTGCCTGACCCACCGTGAGCTGCAGTCACTTTCAGTGGAGCTGCAGGCTAGACTGAGGTTACAAAAAGTTCACTGCTTGACCCTAACTATACAAATGTCTTCACCACAGTTTTTGCACCCTTCTTGAATTGATCAAATAAATTTTACAGAAATAAAGACATTTTAGGTTGAGATCTTGCTTCCAGTGTGGGGCACAGCCCTTCAGACCTTGCTCAATAATGGATTATTGAGTGTCATTGTTCTTTTCCTCACACAGCTTTGTGTCAATTTCCACAAACTCAGGGAATAAGAATTTGGGCTTGGATGAGACGGCACTAATGTACCAGCACATGCTTTTCCCTCAGAGAACTTCGCAATTCTAAATAGTTATCTCCTGTTGCTCGTTGGGAAACAAGCCATATCAGGAAGAACATTTCCTTCATGACCTGTTTTGCATACCGGATGATGATTTTGCTCCTCTTTGTGTTAGGCCATGGAAGAGCTGGTGGATGCTGGTCTGGTAAAAGCCATTGGAATCTCCAACTTCAACCATGAGCAGATTGAAAGAATCTTGAACAAGCCGGGACTGAAGTACAAGCCTGCAAATAATCAGGTAAGCTGCAAAGTGATGGCAGGTGAATAGTTCTCAGGATTTAGAAAGATCTGATCACAGTTGAATGAGGCGATGGAAAAAGGGAGAACAAAGTAGACACAGCATGTACTCTTAAATCCTGCTCTGTGGGTATTTCTGAGTACACAAGGCACTCTGTGTGGTGCTTCCTTTTTTGTCTCACCTTGCTGAACCACTGTTTACATTGGAGTATTTCCCTGGCAACATTCTTTCTGGAAGAATAAAGAACCCAGAGATGAGCTTTGTGAAACCCTCACAGCAGAAACTCTCTAAGCACTTTGAATAAAAGTAAGTGTCTTCAATACTAAGGATGCATAGTATCACACGGGCCACTGGCAAATTAGGGGAAAAGGCAGCCTCTAACTAGATTAGGAGACAATCCATGGAGCACTACAATATTACAACAGTTCTGCCACTATCAGCCTCTCTCCCTTTGTGTTGGCAGGTTGAATGTCATCCATACCTTACCCAGGAGAAGCTGATCAAGTACTGTCAATCCAAAGGGATTGCTGTGACCGCATACAGTCCGCTTGGCTCTCCTGACAGGCCATGGTAAGATTGCTTTGTGCTGTGCAAGGCAGCTGGCATGGGTTATGCTTGAGACTTTGAGACTACAAGTGCACCATTAATTATTAATCCAGACTCAGATCTCTGTTGCTAGGCTGGATCTTTCTATGGAGGTTTCTTGCCACTGATTTCTTTTCTCTGTATAGGGCGAAGCCAGAGGATCCTTCCCTTCTGGATGACCCCAAAATCAAAGAAATTGCAGCCAACCACAACAAAACCCCAGCCCAGGTGGGCAGGTGCAGTACAGTGGGTACTCCTTCCTGTAACACAGGCATTAAGGAAAATATTGCTGAGGAGTGGGTAGAACCTCCATCCATTCCCCATGAATTGTGGCACTCCTTTGGTTTTTCCGTAACAATGCAGATTTTTTTATTATATGGCCTGCAAGACATGCTACTATTGTCTCTTTGGCCCTCAAAAGGATTCTTGACCCACCTTCAGATGTCACTTCCCCTCTCAAGTCCTCTTGCAGAGAAGGAAAGCCTTGATAAAAGTCCAGGTGGGAAGGAAAAGACTTGATGATCCCAAAACTGGATGGGAAAGGAGGCCTTCCATGTGGGCCTCTACCACTTCCCTCTCTGCTCTCCATGAAGTGCTACCTGGGCCACAGGGACAGGAAGGATTTGAAATGCAGCTCTGCAGAAGTGGGTATAGCTTAGGGAAAACAGCTGTTGGAACAGGCTCTGCTTCCTCCAGAGCAGGAGCTGTCCCCTCTCTGACTCAGTTGTCTGTTCCTCCAGGTTCTCCTTCGCTTCCAGGTCCAGAGAAACGTCATTGTGATTCCCAAGTCTGTCACACCACAGCGCATTGTGGAGAACTTCAAGGTGAGTGATTAGGAGTGAGCTGGGTGCTGCTCTTCAGGGGTGGTGTGCCTTGCCCCTGCAGAGCAAGCAGTGATCCTTTCTCACCCTCCTCAGCTCCTCCTCAGGCAAGAGGCCTGGGCTTTTCTTTCTCTATGTTTATGTACACTCTACTCAAGGTTAAGCCAGGTCTAATTTTGGAGAGGACAGATGAATAGGTCTTATATTGATACTTCCTCTCTGCAGCTTGTGGATGAATCAGCAGGCACAGCTTGCCTGGAGGCCACACACAGAAAAGTCTTATATAGAATAAGCAATGTGCATAAAACAGTTCTTGTGTCCATAAAAAAAAGTTGTTCCTCTCTCTGTTAATTCAGTGCTCCGTGACTAAAAACGGACCCTCCAGTGTGAGGCTGCTCTATAATCTTGTCTTTCTTCACTCTGTTTAATTTTTCAAAGAGCTGATTTCCAGCTGTTTCTCTTTTTAGGTGTTTGACTTTGAATTGACTAAAGAGGAGATGGCAACCCTGCTCAGCTTTAATAGAAACTGGAGGATCTGTGCAATGAGCATGTAAGTGACACTGCTTGTTTCCTTCCAACTCTTAAATTTTTAATATTCTTTACAAGGAATTTTGTGTCACAGCTACTAGGTAGCATGAAATTCAGTTTATTTAAAAATCATGCCAACTCAAATTCCAACTAGATGGTCAAAAAAAAACTTTTTCAGGAGAGGGTTTAATATTGCCATTTTAAAAACAAAACAAAACAAAACAAAAGCAACAAAAAAAATTACATTCTCATTTTGAAATCAGTTTCCACGAAACGCTCTGTAACTTGAGTTACAAAAATTCCTTCTGGATGTTCATTTCATCTTTGTCTGTATTAAAGAAATGAGGACACATATCTCCACATATTCTTCCTGTAATTATATGATGCAGGTCTTCCCTTGGTGGCTCCTCCATGCACCCAATGCATCTCTATATAATATTTACGTCATCCATGAAAATAACTTTCCCTCTTTGATTTCTTTCAGGTCCAAAAATCACAAGGAATACCCTTTCCATGCAAAATACTAAAGATGCTTGTAACATGGCCTTCATGAGACCTCTAGTATCTCATGTGACTCTGCTCTAACTTTGAGCTATCTTAATATCTAGTTTTCTTACTGAATCTGCCCTGATGCTGCCAGTGAAGACATGGCAAGTTTATTCCATTAAATTTGTTTGAGTTCTTTTTCTGGAAGAAGGAAAGAGTATTTTTTACAGAACAAAATGTGGGATGTAATAATTTTCTGCTTATTATAAGACAGTATTAGTATTGAAGAGCCTAAGCATAGGTGTTAAGCAGAAAATGGAGTTTGTACCACCACTCAGTGATTGCCTTCAGTCTTGCATCAGCAGAAACCAGATGTCAACAGAGCACAAAAAAAAACATGCATCCACAATTGCATCAGCTGTGTCCCATATTTTAAATAAAATTTACCTGAAAATGCAAAACCATAATTGGCTGAAAGTCTTCCATCTAGTGTAGGAAAAACCAAAAACCCTCCTACCCAGAGACTTGCAGAGAGGTCGGCTGCAGTCACCTGCACTTCGGGGACACGGATCCTCCCGGGACAACGGAGCCACCCGGCGCTTTCCCCTGCGGGCACCAGAGGGCAGCCAGCCCTCAGGGGAGACCCGCCTTGCCCCCTCCCTGCTGGCCACCAGCCCCCCGTGCCCTGGCCGCAGGCCCCAGCCGTGCTGGGGACCGTTTCAGAGGCCACACAACCCGGGTGTCCGCCCCCGGCACGGGAGGCTCAGCCCCTCGGTGCTGCGCCCAAACCACCAGCACCTTAGGATCTTCTCCCTAAGATTTCCAGTTTCGATTCACAAAGCTATAATCCAAGACCATGTGTTTCCCAGCTTCCCGAAGGAGGCAGGCCATAAAAGCCTCAGCAATCGCCAGGCAGATGTAAGACATCCCTTCTGTGAAAAAATACAGCAAGTTACCAAAGCCAGTAAGGGTATTTAATATGGCATGGGAGCCAAAGATGTAGGGAAGTTCTACCACCCTTCATGACCACTGTCTTTCCCTTGGAAACCTGTGCTCAAACACTTGCTCTAACTCACTGCAGAGCCACCATTGTGGGGAGAGTCATACAAATTCATCCAGATGCTCCTTGGCTAAGGGCAGCACTTACAACCCCAATCCCACCCATGCCAAGAGGCTCTCCTGCTCCCACTTGAAGGGTCTCCTCTCATCCCAGGGCACACAGAACGACCTACTGAAAGAAAGGAGACATCAGAGGGGTTTAGCCACATCAACTTGCTGAATCAGGCCTAGGTGTCAGGGATACACAGACAGGAGCTGCCTGCTTAGGGCAGGCAAATTAACCTGGATCTGCCACAGAGCGTGAGGGCTCATAGTTTCATTTCTGCAGTATCATTTTAAGTACACAGTTTTGCCAGCTCATCAGATTAATAGCCAAATACCAGAATTATCAAAGACTAATGTCTTCAAAAAAAACTCTTGGAAAGACACAGAGACGGTGGTGGGACATCAGAGGATGCTCCTGGCTTGATCTGAACTCAACGCAAGCAAGAAAGAGGCCGATGTCTTAGAATTGGATTAAACCTCTGTCCTCCTGTCTGCATTC